ACCTGTGTGGGGCTTTGCTTACACACATACTCAAATGTGCTCTTAAAAGAGCAGTTCTCTGCTCCAAAAGACTGAGCTGTTGGCACAATGGTTCTCTTTCCAGAAAGCAATGCTCAGTCTTCTGTTGAGACAGATCAGAATGAACTCACAAACTTCACAGGCGCTTCCATGAGGAGGAGGTCAAAGCCAACCAAAGGCGGCTTGCTGCGTGCCAGAAAAAATGTTTCGTAATCCCAAACTTCCTGTTGCACCCAATTAGGCCATGGAATTACTTTCTGATTGTCAGCTTATTCTAAATATTATCAGCTTCGACTGACCAGTTAACCTATTACAGGAAATGTGACAGACAGGGTGCACACTATCTTTGTTAGATACATTTAGTCCTGAGGTTTTTATAAACCCAGTGACTCACCATCCCTACAGTTAGTATGGCTGATTTGGTTTATATGTTTTGATACTATGGGCAGAAGGGAAATTTACAGAGAGTTGATCTGTGTTTAAATATTTGCTAGAAATTAGATTATGAAAATTACTAATTTCTAAATTGAAGATCAGGATGAAATGTAAATCTATGTGTGTGGGGGTTATAATGCTTTTAGCCCATGTCACAAACATGGCCTGGAACCTTCCATTTTTTTTCCACTGAGCATATCCCTTAAGGATTCATTACTGACAAAACTAAGCTATACATATCTCAAGCTCTTATGAAAACATCCACAATTACGATTTGTTTCTACAACAAACAAGAGATCTAGTGACAGTGATACAGGTCTGAAACGCTACAAGAAAAAACGGAAATATAACATTGTGAAATGGAATGAGCACCCCGTCTTCTAAATCTGCTTGTGAGTTTAACATATGCTTTCCTGTTGCCTTATAAACTATATTAGGAACCCCCGGAGACAGGGCAAGACACTGTAGGAATATGTTTGATATATAGTTGGATTAAATAACAACCTAATATATCAAACATATCACACAGAGGCCTGCAGAAAAGGCATCCAGGTTTGACTGAGCTCGAGAAAAGGCAGAGTACTGCAGGCTACGGCTGCAGGGGGTGGTCACCACTGCCGCAAGTCCATTACCTCTCTGTGGAGCACAGTCTGTCTGTAAGTGTGGAAACGACACCATTAGCAACATTGTAGGTACACGCACCAGCCTTAATACCATCCGACCTTCTCTCCTTTTGCTTTGATACCATCTTCCCAAGAAAACAGTGGATCCAACAGTGCCAATTGGTTATTTGTGTTTGGCAGATCCCAGGCAAAAAGAGGTGCTGATATTTTAAGGGCCTGAGGGGGGAAAAGGTGCCAGGAATCATCTTCATAAACCATGGAGCATTCTACTTTTAAAACAGGCGACCTGAGAATGCGGTGAGCAAAACAATTCAAACAAACAAAAAAAAAATAAAACATTGCCCATCCCCGATACTATTCCTCTAAGCAGTGTAAATGCTCTCCCGTTACGAAAGGAAAGCGTTATTTGCTCTCTACTAAGGGCTTGTGTGTTCGTGTGTAGTTACAGGGATGGGAATGCGAGAGCAAATGCTTATTCACAGTATCTTGGGGATTACCTATTTTTTTTCAGTTATGGAAGGGGATGGAGAGAACCAATGAACCACAAAAGACTGGCTGCTTTTGGTGTCAGACTGGGAATTAAAAAAAAAAAAAAGTTTATTTTGACAGAGTGTGTGTGAGTACAGGGAGGGGCAGAGAGACAGGGAGAGAGAGAACCCCAAGCAGACTCCCCACTGACAGGGCAGAGCCCGATGCGGGGCTCAATCTCACGAACCACGAGATCATGATGACCTGGGCCGAAATCAAGAGTCGGATGCTTCACTGACTGATAAACTGGGGAAATGCATTCCTTTATAAAGGTAAGGAAGATATCTGATTTTATGCAGTTGTTACCACATAGCAGATGGTTCTGTTCCTAGACAGGCACAAAAACCCTGGTTTGGGTTGAAGATTTCTTTAAAAGAATTTTATCGATAATATAATCCATATGTCAGGAGCCTCTGGCCAATGGGTGGCGTAAGACTTCACATCACTGTGAGGCACTCAGAAAGTACTGAGCACCCTTCCTTATAGGAATTGGGGAGCGGCCCAAGGTAGGCGTCCCCAAGTAAGAGACTCAGATCAACAGTTATGTCCACTTTGACCTTGACCAAAGGATTCCTTGGCTCTCCGTAAAGAGCCACATTGTAAATACAAAAGCTACGTGACCCCAGGGCAGTGCAGGGAGCACCCGCGCATCCACCTCTGCAGCCATCACTCATTTTTTAAGTGCTCTTATTTTTAAAACACTGTTTTACAAAATTTTAAAACCCAGGCACTCCCTGAATTCCACTGTCATTCTTGTACATTCCCCGCCTGTCTCCTTTGTATGTAAGTGTTCTTTACAGAGTTATACCGAGCACATAATTCTGCATCCTGTTTTTTTGTTGTTTTGTTTTTTTTTACTTTACATTTATGCCATGAGCAGAATCCTCTGCACACCGAACAGTCCTACCAACATTATTCTCAACAGCTGTGTACTTTTTCTTCAAGGAGACACACAGGTCACGTCTAACTTCTTCCTACTACAAACAAGGCTACAGGCAACAGCCCTCACCCCTTCCCCTCCCCCAGGTTTCTTTCTCTCTGGATTTCCTCCTTTGCACAGGAAGTGGCAGTAACAGCTCAGAGGGTACAGGCAAACCAAAAAGCTTCCCTGTGGAGCTGCCCCAGCTTCTGACATTGGCTAAACCCAGAAAACTGGTATGAACTGACTGTGTCATCCATAGCGCACATACAATGCTTCCAGATCAGTCGAGGCCACCTGACTCTGGCAAGGTATTTTGCCTCTGATTCTGCATGGACAGGCGTTGCTTTGTGGGCACATTGCAAGGACCCGACGAGCCAACGCCTGTAAAGCACTGCTTAGCACATACTTGGTACTCAATCAGTGTGAGTCTTTTATTTTCTTTTTGCTAAGGCCATCAGCTCATGGGTCTATGGAAAAATTATTCTTTCAGGCATTCTCCTAGGAAGTAGTAGATAAAAGTCTCTGAAGCATCTTTTTGGTTACTGCTTATTCAGTTAGGCACTGTATTTTTAAATTATCTCATTTAACTGTTATAACAACAACGCTATGGGGTAGGACCTCTAATTGCTGGGTTTTTTTCAGATCAAGAATCACGAGGTATATCAATGGCTGGACAGAGGGCAATTAGGACTCAGAGACAGAGCACAGAGGGACCTTACAAAAGGACAAAAGGAGAGGGATTAAAACAGGAGCTCTCAGAATCTGGGGAAGTGCTAATGTTACACGAGCACCAGGCTAATTCTCCAGAACAGTGTCAACTGACATGACTTCAGCAATAGCAGACGCAAGCTCTCCAGGAGAGGCTACTTGTGCTAAATCAGATGAGGAAAAGGGAAGACAAATTACACACAAAGCCTCCAAATCTTAGTCAACAGTTGCTTGCTTCTTAGTTGAATGCACATTTTCCATTTGCAATTAACCTGATTTATCAAGCAGAAATAAAGACAAAGCCAGAAAGTGGGAGTTGCCCCTATATACACATCCAGTTCTTAAACTTGTTGAAAACACCTAGGACAATCTCAGACCTCTTAAGACCCTCAGGTTAGAGGCTAGTAGAGAGAACCCTGGTAACCCCCCAAATCAGAAAGCCGTAACTCCTAAATTACATCTTGATGAGAGATTTACAGAAATGCCTTCACCAACTATCAGCAACTATCGGGAGACTGGTTCTAAGAATTTAATGGTTTTAAGAAGGTTCCCAAGCTCAATACATTCACTTACATGCTCACGTCTGTTTTACATGCAGCATTAACCTGGGTGCTGCTTTTGAGTGGTTTGGTGTATTTCAGTGCTCAGACTCCATATTTTGGTTTTATAAAAATGGTACAGTTTTAGGCATACCTAATCTGGGGGATCCAGCTTTTTCTGAGCGGAAAAACCATATTTTACCTCCTAATGTTTTTGGGTCCTTGGAAGAGAAGTGAGGTGATGGGTACCAGCAGGGACTCACTTGAATACAAAGAAAAAGAGGCCTCCTCTGATTCCACCGTCTTCTGGGAGAAGACAGCCGTGGGAGGTAGAGTGAAAGGTAACTGCTTCTGGACAGGACTGGGCTTTGCCCCTGGACAGCACTAGCTCACCATCCTTTTATGTATAATTGTCCTTCCTATGGCCCCATCTTAGAGTAAGTCCTTAAATGGCTGTTTCTCTTTAACATCTTAAGTTTTACATTTTTAAAAATGTTTTTATTTATTTTTTACAGAGAGACTGAGCATGAACGGGCAAGGGGCAGAGAGAGAGGGAAACACAGAATCCAGAGCAGGCTCCAGGCTCTGAGCTGTCAGCACAGGGCCCAATGTGGGACTCGAACCCACAAACCGTGAGATCATGACCTGAGACGAAGTCAGATGCTTAACCAACCGAGCCACCCAGGCTCCCTTAACGTCTTAAGTTTTAAACATTTATCTAGATGACCAACACAGATGGAGAAAACATACCAGCCCACCAGTCTCCAGCATATACTGAGGAAGTCTGTTACTAGGTCCACTTTGAGGTCCACATTACCCTTTACTGATTTGAAGAAAAGGAGAGACCCCACATTGCTATTTGCACTGCATTATGGAAACCAGAAAATTTGAGGGTGACAACGTCCCCTTCAGTAACAGGGACTTTCCATAGTAAGCATCTAACACCTGCTTTCTATATAGTGGAACTAAATTCAGATCCTAAGTGCCCTGGATTCTTCCTTTGGATACCCAAAGGTGTTTTTCTGGGTGGTTAACCTGAAGGATCAACCCATGGGTTTTTTTCCATGCCCTGTAAAAAGGTGCTGGGCAGGTAGAGCAGGTCTGCCACTTGCCAGTCTAACCACGGGGAAGGGGACAGGCTCCCTGTGGGCACACCTAGCTTCACTTCACAGCCATCCACAGGAAGACCTATTGACATCGGACAAGCAGCCACACATGGACACTCACTTTCGGTTTGGCTCTTGGCTTCAGTTGCTCTAACTTCTTAGCAGCAGCCTCAATGGATGCCGCAGCCCCCAGTAATTCTGTTTCCGCGATGACAGTTGGGTCTTCTGGATCCACCCACTCTGTTCCTAAAATCAGTCCAAAGAGGGTCATTCTTGGTAGCTATGACCGCAGGGGTCTGGCTTCATACCAACCATGTCTGGATTTACGTGCAAGGAGGCTCTGTCAGCCTACTAGTTGCACCGTCCTAAGGGATCTTCTCTCCAGCTCTCAGCGAGATCAGCTGGGTGAAGGGGAGCTCCTATCTGATCCTGTCGCTTGTGTAAGTCAGTTGTGTATACAGCCCTACCGCAGGAGCACTCATCGATGCAGTGTCAAAAATCAAGATCTTATGGTTCAAGGCCAGCTCGAGCCTTACTCTGACCTCTTTCTTAAAGCTCATGACCGCAAGTAACCACTTTCAAGATACTTGAGACTATGCGGACCACACAGATTTGTCATCCTCTTCTCTTGGGGACTCATGGAGAACTACCATTCATCTCAACTCAGACAAAGGGAACCTGGTAAGAAAACCTTGCCCTGGTGAGGTGACTGCTTCTAATGTGACCACAAGGGGGTGTGCAAACAATGTACACAGATGGTATCATTTCCTAGACATGGACTGTATGATTGAATGAGGATATTCTGATGAAGGCAAATGCAGATAAAAATAAAGGGCGATACCCTTAAGACAAGTGAGCTGCTCTAGGTGGATTATACCATTTAAGTGGAAGTACTTAATCAAAGGACTGGAAAAGAGCCTTGCTTGAGGAGGATATTACTTTGAAATTCTAACTCTATTCTCATTTGCTAAAAAAACAAACCAAAAAACCCAACAACAACAAAAAAAACCCTACTGTATTCCTTCTGACTGCGTTCACCAAGAAAGGGCCTGTGTTGGCTGCAGGGTTTCTTTGCTCAGTTCATGGCCACTGAGTGGTGTCCCACGAGATGATATGAGAGAATCCAGCCTACCTTTCATGGCTTCTGCTGCCTGGATGAGCTCAGTCACGGCACCAGCGACGCGCTTGGAGAAAGCAGCCAGCTGGTGCTTGAGTTCCGGGCTGGGTTTCTGAAGAATCTGAGGATGAAGAATAAGTCAAATGCATAAGAAAGATGGTAGCCGTTGTGACAGAAAGCACACTCTTACTGGTGAACCGAGTTGGACAACCTGGTTTGAAGTTGCAACTCTGCCACCCAAGTGACTTCAGAAACTTGGGGGAAAACACTTAAGGCTCACTGGCCTTCAGTTTCCTGTGAGAAATGAAAAGTTGGGAATTACGAGTTTTTCTAAGGTCCCTCTGGACACATTTCTGTAAGATCGTAAGTGAGATGAAGTCCTTATGTGGCCTTTATTTGCCCTTTCTTTTGCACATAAACCAAACATATGCACACGAAAATTACGCACAGTTTAGGAACATTCCGAGTGAACGCGAAAGCCTGAGGTTACAGGTCAGATGGTACTTGTGACAAAACAAATGTGGCACCAGAAGAAATATGTGACTCTGGTGGGGTCTCAGAGACAGAGTCCCAAGAAAGCACAACCTTCTGATCAGAGGGCAAGCTCTCCTGCGAGAGATTCTGAGGATTTTCCTTTTTTTTTTTTTTTTTACTAGCTCAAAGGTTTTTTTAAGTTTCTTTTTTTGCCTTTTGGTTTTTGATGGTGTTAAAAAAGATATTGGCTTTCCAACACCCAATCCAATTTATAGGATATCCTGTGTGAGGATTTCTTCTCCAATTCACTCAAGAATGGGATGAGATCTTCACCATAAATTTACATTCTGACTTAAATCACCTTGCTCCTGCCTAACTCTGAAATTCCTCTTCCAACATTCTTTTTCTGCATTTCTTTCTCATGCTTCCCAGTGCTACTCTTCAGATTGAGAAATGCTCAAACCTTCAGGAGCAAAGCACAACGGCTGCCTCTCTCTGGATAATTCTGAAGCCTCGAGCCAGGGATAAACATCGCTTTGGAACTGGACAAACTTGTGTTCACACACCTGGCTTCCTTTGCGCCTGGTTTTGGACGCTGGGCAGGTTAATGAACCCCTCAGAACCTGTTTTCTCCTCTGTAAAGCTGGGATAATGCCTATTCCTCAGGATTGGCATAAAGATCAAAAGGAGTAACACATAAGAAACACCCTGCACAATGCCTCCAACACGGCAGGTGTTCGTTAAATGTTAATTCCCTTCTTGGTGTCCCATACTCATTCTTAGGAGTCTGGAAAAGAAGTCTTTTGGACCCCAGAGATAAAAGAAAACTGTAAGTCTGGTTAAAAAAAAATCTGGGTTTGGGGGAGTTAGTGGGATTATACTTTGACCAGCACTGGCCGCACCAGTGTGTAGAAGACATTGTATTATATGCCTGAACTGATTAGTCAAAGGTCTTTGAGCATCACTTTACATGCAACCATCACCATCCTCCTTCCTTTGGAAATCTTTAAAATTTATTTTCTATTTGCTACTGTTCCATGAATTCAGTTATTCTGCTCTTATTTTCTCACCCTAGGACTTATACATATCACTATGCAGATACTAAGAACTCAGTACAGGGGCATCTGGCTGGCTCAGTTGGTAAAGCATGTGACTCTTGATTTGGGAGTTGTGGGTTCAAGCCCTATGTTGGGTGTAGAGATTACTTAAAGAAAATTTTTAGGAAAAGAAAAGAACTCAGTACAACTCAGTACAATTCATTTGAGTGAACAAATGAATGGATGGGTAAAAACAGAGCAACATACCATTGGGACAAGTCCTAATATGATAGCTTCATGGACCAGTTCTAAAACACTAGAACCATGGAGAGGTGGGGGGAGGAAGTTGTGTCTTTTATTTTCTAATACAGCCAGGGGTAGGCAGTTTAGTTAAGTATAGGTTCTAGAGTCAATTTACCTATGTAACCCTGGTCTAGTTACTTTTCTTCTAAGCCTCAGTGTAAGTAAATTGCCTAGTAAATAGGCATAGCAACAGTCCTTTTGTTACCGACTTGTGGTAAGACTGCATAAGTTAATATGTAATTTGATACAATATATATTCCCATCAGGGCTATTGATAGAATTGGACTGAAGTACAGCTTGGGCACCAGGGTTTTTAAAAGTCCCCCATGTGATTCTCATATATAGCCAAAGTTGTGAACCACTGCCCTAGTCTCAAATGGTACCATTTGGCACCACTTAATCAAAGGCCTGTACTATTTTTTTCCCCCCTGAAACAATACATGTTGTAAGTTCACCAGGTGAATAATGGTTATGGCTCAGGGTTTGAAAAGCTAAGTGGTCCATAGCCTTGTTCGTTGGTTAGTTGGTTTATCCATGGTGGTCAACACGACAAGAATAGGCAAAGAATTAAAAGTATGATGGGGAGATTCACAGTAAATGATGAAAGACTGAACATTCTCTACCTAAGATCAAGAATACGGTAAGGATGTTTGATCTCACACCCTTATCAGTATTGTACTAACATTCCTGGACAGTGCAATAAGGCAAGAAAAATAAGTAAATGGTACAGAGATGGAAAAGAAGAAGTAAAAGAATCTTTCTTTATAAATAATGTGAATGTCTATATAGAAAATTCTGAGGCATATGTAAACAAAAGCTTCTAGAATAAGTGAGTATAGCAAGGTGACAGGCTATAAGGTCAATATACTAGTATCAATTATATTTTTAGGTTCAACAGCAATAAAAAAAATAAGAATTTTAAAAAAGCAGTATCATTTATAACACCATAAAAATTATGAAATACCTAGTGCTAAATGCGACAACACATGTGCAAGACCTGAATCCTAAAAAGTATAAACATTGTTGAAATTATTAAAGGAGACCTAAACAAATGGAGATATGTGCCATGTTTACGGATTAGAACACTCTTAAAATGTCAATTACCCTCAAATCTCCCCCACAATCCCAGTCAAAATCCCCAAAGCTTTTTTTTTTAGATATTTAGATGATGACATGAAATGCAAAGCACATAGAAGACCTAAAACTATTTTGAAACAGAACCAAGTTGAAAGTCTTCAACTACCAGATTTTAACATTCATATAAAGTAGTAGTAATCAAGACATCATGATATTGGTACTTGGACATATAGATCAATGGAGCAGAAAAGAGTCCAGAACTAGATTTCACATATATAGTCAACTGATGGTCATTAAATGTGTTCAGATGCCTTTAATTCAATGGGGACAGAATCATTCTTTTCAACAAATGATGATGGAACAACTGGATAGCCATACGTAGGAGTATGAACCCTGGCCCTTTCCCCACAGCTAAACCTAAATATAAGAATTAAAACTATACAGAAACAAACCAAAAAAAAAAATCTTAGTGATCTCAGATTTGGTAAGGATTCTCTGAGGACAAAATATAAACTAGGCTTGAAAACTTTAAAAATCATGAACTTGGAAGTTTATGTTTTATAACTCTAAAAACATTATGCTAATTTAAAGAAGCAGTCACAAAAGACCATATACTGTGTGATTCCATTTATATGAGAAGTCCAGAATAGGCAAATATACAGAGGCAGAAAGAGATTAGTGTTTGTCTAGGTCTTAGAAGTGGAGTGAGGGCAATGAACGACTGCTTAAGGGTATGAGGTTTCTTTTTGGGGTGATGCAAATATTCTAATATTTTGTGATAGGTGCACAGCTCTGTAAAGACAGGAAAAAACAATTAATTTAATGCCTGAAATGGGAAAATTCTGTCATACGCCAATTATACCTCAATAAGGCTGCTCAAAAGAGAATCAATCGGGCATGCAAATAAAAGAACAGGAAGCTGGTGAGAGGTAGTGGAGCATGGCCCCCCGAAATAACCTCTTTGGTATACGGATTGTTTTGGGCTAATTATTGTGAGAAAAAGACACGGGAGAAGCTCTGAAAACAGAGTAGAAGTTACTCTTTTGAAAGAGAAATTTACAGTGACAAAGCAAATCTTCCTCTGATTAGAGTGTCTCCCTCTCCCTGCCTGAAGAGAAGGTTGACTCTTTATCATGAGAGAATTTATCAGAGGAGAAGGCACAGATTTAAATCTGCATAATCTCCTGGCAACCTCCAGGAGGTTTTTCCTGGCAACCTCCCATCACCTGTCCCAAACCAATTACACACCTTTTTTTTTCACGGAACTGAACATGGTCTTTAAGCCAGTGGTTTAGGCCACCTATGTAGTTACTCATTTTTCCCCTGGATATCTGCTATGCATCCATGAGGTACACAATGTATTTGTTTTTCTCTTGTTAATCTGCCTCACTACACAGGGTCTCAGGCAAGAACTCTGAAGTGTAGAGAGAAAATTATTTTTTCTTCCCTTATACCGGGATATAATCCTAAAAATAATTTGCAAACATAACTGATGCAAACAAACATTCAATTCATCTTATGTGTTTAATTACTTGGGATATAAGATCTATTTTGGCTTTACTTTCCTATTTTTGCAAGTCTTATCTGAGCTTTTTGTTTCTTTAACTCTCTGCAGCATTGTTATTTTCTTTTTTAATAACACACATTTCCATCTCTCTCCAGACGTTGTTATGAAAACGACAAGGCAAACCACACCCTAAGAGAAAGGATTAAAAAATTTTTCACAATTTGTATCTAGAAAATGTAAAAAATTCTCAAAATTCCATAATAAGACAAACCCAATGAAAAATAGCCAAAAACATCTCAACAGGGACTTCACCAAAAAAGACATACAGAGGGCAAACAGGTGCATTAAAAAAGATACTCAACCACGTACATTAAAACCACAGTGAGACACCACTGCACACCCACTGGAACGACTAAAATTGAAAAGACAGACCATTTCAAGTGTTGACAAGGGTGTGGAGCAACCGGAACTCTCCTACTCTGCTGGAGGAAATGTAAAATAGTATAACTACTATAAAAAAGTTTCCCAAGAAAGGAAAAAAAATGCATACCCTATTTTATAAGTATTCCACATCCAGGTATTTATCTGAGAGAAATGAACAAATTCAGGCTCAGAGATTTATACAGAGAATGGTCTTGGCAGTTTTATTAGTAATCAGAAGCTGGAAACAACTTAAATATTTGTCTCTCCACCTAATGATGGACAAGTATGGCAGAACCATTT